GTATTACATATCCTACACAATATCAAGATTTCAGCTTATAATTCTCAACATGCAACCCTAATTTCATGGTTTCTTGAACTCAAAGTGAATACATTATCAAAAATGAGCATACCTTCAATAATCTTGCAAAATTTCACCAATTTCTTGCTAAAACACCCAAGTTTGGTTCCCTTGAAGAGTACAGAAGCTTTGAAACAAAAATGGGGAAGAATTGGTGCTGAATTCGTGTTTATATGTCAAAAACCCGAGTTGGGTCGGTTTGACCCAGCTAGGTACCCGTTTTGACCATTAAACACTAAAAATTGCATAACTTTTCGCTCGAAACTCCGTTTTCGATAAGGTTTTCACCTACGCATTCATAACAAGATAATCTATAATTTACAAAAAAAAGTTTCATAAAATACCTCCCAATACCAGCAATTTTCATATTTGTACGAGTTATGCTTTCCTTTTAAATTTTGCCGTTTTTTATTTTGAGTTCGGAATCCCGTAAAAATTTGCCGACACCTCCAACAACTCCTAATTGGTCCAAAACTTAGTTCCAAAGCTTAACATCTATAAAAAACCTCCCGATTGAGTATTGTGCACGTAATTTATCGAAATCATACCGTAATTTGATTTTTTTTTTGCATAAAATGCAATCTACGCGACTATTTCGACTTCCGACAATTCTAACACTTCATATTAACTTATTCAAAGGTGTTCCAATATTTAGATTACCATTTAAATCTTCCATTCAAATTTTGGGTAAATTTTTCTCATTTAGGCACTCTAGATACCTACCCAACTATCATGTATGCAAGGAACTTTGTATGTTGAACCCTCACATTATCTAATTATGTCAATTGTGAGGTGTTAGCACCAATCTTACCTTCTACTTCTCATTCCAATTATGAGTTCTACTTATAGCTCACTAGTATACTTAGCATTTTAGCATTTTAGCAATTTTTTTAAAATAACACATAAGGTATGCTTATAATTACTAGTTAAGCATATTTAAATAGGTGGATGTTACAAATACCTCCTCATTTTGAAGATTCCGTCCACGGAATCATCGTTGCTCGAACAGTGTCGGGTATTTCGCCATCATTTCTTCTTTATTCTCCCAAGTCCAATTTGGCCCACGATGATGTTTCCACTTAACCAACACTAGATCCACAACCTTGTTGCGCAAGTTCACCGTTTGTTGATTTAAGATAGCCTCGGGTTCTTCAATGTATCTCAATTTCTTGTCTACTTTGATTTCCACTAACGGCACCATCTCATCGTGTTTACCGAGACATTTTCTTAGATAAGCAACATGAAAAACGTCATGGATACCTGTGAGTTCTTCTAGCAACTCAAGCCGATACGCTTGCTTTCGAACCCGCTCCAATATTTTGAATGGCCTAATGAAACGAGGGCTAAGCTTACCCTGCTTTCTAAATCGGAGTACCCCACGCCATGGAGAAACCTTCAGCATTACTAGATCTCCAACTGAGAATTCAATTGGCTTTCTGCGAGGATCTGCGTACAATTTCTGCCTATCCTATGCAGCTTTCATTCTCTCTCGAATCACTTGAATCTTGTCGTGAGTAATTTGAATGAGCTCGGGGCCAGCAAACATCTTTTCTCCAGTTTCTTTCCAACATAGAGGCATACGACACTTACGTCCGTACAAAGCCTCAAAAGGTGCCATACCGATTGTCGTGTGGTAGCTGTTGTTATACGAAAACTCGACAAGAGGCAAATGAGTATCCCAGCTCCCACCAAACTCCAAGACACAAGCACGCAACATGTCTTCTAACGTCTGAATGGTACGCTCAGATTGCCCGTCAGTTTGCGGGTGATACGCGGTACTGAATGCCACCCGCGTTCCTAGTTCCCGCTGTAATCCAGACCAGAAGGTAGAAGTAAACCGAGAGTCACAATCTGGAGATTATCTTCAAGGGTACACCATGTCGAGCAACGATCTCATCAACATAAAGTTGTGCCCACCGACCCATCGTATATGATTCCCGAACGGGAAGAAAATGAGCAGACTTTGTTAGGTGATCTACGATAACCCAAGTACTGTCGTACTGACGAGAGGTCTTAGGAAACTTTGTAACAAGATCCATGGTTAGCTCTTCCATTTCCACACAGGTATCTCCAAAGGTTGTAGACTCCCATACGGCTTTTGGTGTTCTGCTTTTACCTGTAAACACGTGATGCATTTCTCGACACAACGATCGATATCAGCTTTCATCCCAGGGCACCAATAGTCTGAACGGAGATCATGATACATTTTAGTACCTCCAGGATGAATAGATAACGATGTTTTGTGCGCTTCCTCTAGAATAAGCTCTCGCAAAACCCCAAGTCTCGGTACCCAAATTCGGGTTTTAAAGACTTTGAGACCACGCTTTTCTTCAGATAAGGAGTCTACATAACCAACCATACGTTCGAACTTCAGGTGTTCTGGCTTTAATGCCTCGATTTGCCACCTATGAAGATCATCGATAAGAGTAGACTTCATTGACACATGAGTGATAGCATAGCAAATGCTGGTCCTGTGTGGCTTCCGACTCAACGCATCTACCACTACATTGGCTTTACCAGGATGGTATAGAATTTCACAATCATAATCTTTGATCAATTCCATAGCTCTCTGTTGACGCATATTCAGAGTCTGTTRGTHGAAAATATRTTTCAAACTCTTGTGATCAGTGAACAACTGACACTTTGTGCCATAGAGATAATGTCTCCAAAGTTTAAGAGCAAACACAACGGCTGCCAATTCAAGATCATGAGTGGGGTAATTCTTCTCATATTCTTTCAATTGTCGAGAGGCGTATGCAATTACTTTGCCTCGCTGCATCAACACACTTCCCAAACCTAATATAGAAGCATCACTATATACTACAAAGTTATCATTGCCCTCGGGTGAAGCAAGTATCGGTGCATGAGTTAAACAATCCTTCAAAGACTGAAATGCATTCTCTTGAACCTTAGTCGATACAAACTTCACTTCTTTGCGGGCAAGTGAAGTAAGCAATACTGCAATCTTTGAGAAATCCTGTATGAATCGACGATAGTAACCCGCTAAACCAAGAAAACTACGAACTTCAGAAGCATTCTTGGGTTGCTCCCACTTCTGTATAGATTCAATCTTGGATGGTTCCACAGAAATGCCATCGCTAGAAATCACATGCCCCAAGAATTGCACCTGACGAATCCAAAATTCACATTTTGAGAATTTAGCATATAACGTTTCCTTCCGCAATAGTTCCAACATCTCTCGAAGATGTGTAGCATGTTCAGCCTCAGACTTAGAATATACCARAATGTCATCGATGAAAACGATAACAGACTTATCAAGCATAGGACGACACACTCGATTCATCATATCCATAAAGGCTGCAGGGGCATTAGTCAATCCAAATGGCATAACAAGAAATTCATAATGTCCGTATCGGGTACAAAAAGTTGTCTTTGGTACATCCTCTTCACGTACCTTAAGTTGATGATAACCCGACCACAAATCAATCTTTGAAAAATAACTTGCGCCTTGCAATTGATTGAACAAGTCATCTATACGCGGTAATGGATATTTGTTCTTTATCGTTACCTTATTCAATTCACGGTAATCGATGCACATACGAAAGGATCCATCTTTCTTCTTCACGAACAATACCGGAGCACCCCAAGGGGAAGTGCTCGGTCTAATAAAGCCCTTATCTAGCAATTCCTGCAACTGACTCATCATCTCTTTCATATCGGTTGGTGCAAGGCGATAAGGTGCCTTTCCAATAGGTGCTGCACCCGACACTAAATCAATACGGAATTCTACTTGCCTATCCGGCGGTACCCGAGGCAAGTCATCAGGGAAAGCATCTTGAAATTCACACACAATTGGTACATGTTTTACAGTTTTCTTCATTTCTTTGGTTGCATCCAAAACATATGCCATGAAAGAAGAGCAACCTTTAGCAATTAAGGTCGTGCTTTAAGCAAAGATATTACTTTCAAGTCGCCTATACGTCTTTCCCCATAAATGTATAAGTAGTCTCCATTCTTAACTGGTACCCGAATCATCCTCTGAGAACAAATGATATCCACACGGTTCTTCACTAACCAATCCATACCAATCATGACATCGAAACCACGGATATCCATAGGAATCAAATCTACTAAAAAGTCATGTTCGTCTAACACTAAAGTGCAGTCTCTAAACACTCTATCAGTTACCAAAGTGACTCCATTAGCAGTATCAACGGTAAATGGTATAGAAAGCATAACTGGCACATATTTTAAATAACGAACATAGACATGCGACACAAAAGAATTTGTAGCTCCAGAATCGAACAAGATACAAGCAGGTCTAGAGTTAACAAAGAAAATACCAGTAATAACGTCTGCCTCATTGCGAGCCTCCTCCGTGGTAATCTGAAAAGCTCGAGCTCGTGCTTTGGGTATCTCCTCCTTTTGACTTGAAGCACCCCCCACCGCCGGTTGCTGCATTGACGCCTTACTTTCTTCCCGCCTAATACGGGGGCATTCAAATTGTCGGTGCCCAAATACTCCACAAGAATAACATGCTGGATTTCTTTTTTAGCAGTTTACATGAATGTGACCCATCTCCCCACAACAAAAACATTTCAAGTTTGTTGTTTCAGTAAGGCATCGCCCTTGGAGAGTTTTGCCACATCTTTGACAAGACGTGACGCATTAGATTGAAGTGAATAGACTTGTGATTGGGCACACGGAATATTTTGAGATTCACTCCTTCTAGGAGTGAAAGATCGAGATTGTCGCTGAGTAGGTACATAGAAGGTTCTTTCAGTTCGTTGCCCTTTTGATTCAGAAGTTGGTTCCTCAAATTTTGTTAAATCGTGTTCACGGCGACAAGCATGCTCCACAGCTTTATTGAAACTCGGAATATCACGATTAACAACAAACTCTCGGATTTCTCTCCTCAGACCATCAACAAAATGCTCTATTTGATCATGTTCAGAAGATTAGAATCGTAGGCAAAACATGCCTTACGATTAAATTTAGTCACATACTCAATCACATACATGTTCCCTTGCTTGAGTTCCAAGAATTCTTTCTCAAGCCTTCGTTGCAAGTCGATCGGACATAATTGCTCAAGGAAATGAGTCTTGAAAGACTCSCAGGTCAAGCTTTCTCGTTCATTTTCAGTCAGGGATTCAAAAGTTGCATCCCACCAAGTGAGTGCACGTTTTGTCAACATTGCACTAGCATAATTTGCTTTATCCTCATTCATCACTCGGGAAATTTGAAACACTTTTTTAGTGGTTTGAAGCCACTGCACCGCGATTACTGGGTCAGAGAGTCCAGTGAATTCAGTAGCACCACTACTTCGGAAGCTTTTAAACAAGACCCGTTTAGATTTGGGTTTTGAGAGACCACCCAGCTCTTTCCCTTTACCCTTTTCTATGGCAAGCTTATGATGTTCAAAAGTTTGTTGAACGAAATTCGTAAGTCGTTTCATTAAGCGTTCACTACGGGGAGACAATGGTGTAGCATCCTCATTTAGGTTGAGGTCGGGATCGTTTTCTCCAACATTAGGGTTTGTTGGAGTGTGACTAACAACATCATCATCAGCCATCGTCCTAAAAGGTGCACACATGGTGAGCGTATTAAAATATGGAGTATTAAATAGTATCCTATTTATGGTCCGTTACCCAACCTTGGTTTTTCCTAATGGACCATATCCCGTATAAATCATCGCCTAGTTACTATATAACATCAACGCCTAGTTTAAGTCTAGATACCATTATTGATACCTAGTTCACTTAAACTATTGCTTTGATACCATATTTGTAACACCAGGATTACAAAACAAACACTTACCAACCTTCATTAAATAAATTTTAGTTTCAAAAACCTCAAGATACGGGATAGCGATTTACAACCCAAAATACATAATTTTAAGACTTAATAAATACATAGCTAACAAAAAAAAACCATCGGGGACATGTCTACCCGGAATATACATACTATGAACAACCCAAAAGTATAACTTATACCTAAACTCAAAAATAGGCTTTACACGTCAATCCCTAATCGATCATCCGACCTTGTTTTTGCCTTTGCCAATTTACCCTGAAAAGTTAAAACCACTAAAAGTTAAGCTATATGGCTTAGTGAATTTATGTGAAAAAATGTGGTTACTGTTGGACCTGTAAATTCAGCTTTGATATTGATCTATTACTCTGAATGAACTCTAGGACGATTACAGTGCAGCAGAAACAATATTAAGAACAAAACATAGTAAAATAAACCAAGAACACACAGTTAAGATGATGAAGAAGATGAACACA